ATAACTACACACTTAATAGGGTTAGAGTAACCTTTTAATGTAATTTATTGGAAATTTAAAGGACCACTCTAGGCACTCAGACCACTTCAGCTTAATGAAGTGGTCTGGGTGCCAGGTCCAGCTAGGGTTAACCCATTTTTTTATAAACATAGCAGTTTCAGAGAAACTGCTATGTTTATGAATGGGTTAAGCCTTCCCCCAAAGCCTCTAGTGGCTGTCTCATTGACAGCCGCTAAAGGCGCTTGCGTGATTCTCACTGTGAAAATCACAATGAGAGCACGCAAGCGTCCATAGGAAAGCATTGATAATGCTTTCCTATGCGACCAGCTGAATTCGCGTGCAGCTCTTGCGCATGCGCATTCAGCCGACGGGGAGGAACGGAGGAGAAAAGGAGGAGGAGAGCTCCCCGCCCAGCGCTGGAGAAAGGTAAGCTTTACCCCTTTTCCCCTTTCCAGAGCCAGGCAGGAGGGGGTCCCTTAGTGTGTGGGCACCCTCAGGGCACTATAGTGCAAGGAAAACAAGTATGTTTTCCTGTCACTATAGTGGTCCTTTAAGCATTTGTAAGACCCCTTGTCTCAAACAAAAATAAAGCATTGGCCTACTCTGAATGGGGCATAGTAACATTTCAAATCTGAGATATTCTTTGAGATATTCCTAAATCCTTTCTTTCCTATATACTGTAATAAGAGAAGAGAGTGTCTTATCACGGATAGAACTACCTTATAGGCACTTATAAGTTCCTTTCCAGTCCGTTTAGATCCTATTATATAATTGTGCTTACTCAGCTGGCTACTCGAGTAAGGGAGCTCTGAAAGACTTAACAGTGTACCTAGAAATAAGACTGACCGAGGGTATTTAGGTAGCAGATTCTTTTATTTGCAATCTGTGTCTATATTTCCAGTTACTGGAAGACCTTTACTTAGTGATTTTCCTGCGGAACTTAGCTACATCAAATAACTTACTGACTTAGGATCCAGTCAGTTGTTACAAACTATCCTTTGAGCACTGTTCATTTGATAGAGACTTACTTGATACTTTTCTTTGTACTAAAAAAGTATCAGGTTGCGTCCAACCACTACAGAGTTGGACTTTGTCTATCTTGATATTTTTTATACAGGTTATTAATCTACTATTTTAGGTAGAACCTTACTGTTTTAGCAGTGTTTTGATTTTCATCGCTATATCACTGTATAGAATAAGTCCCACGTGTTCTCCACACACACATATATATATATATAGTTTATTTTGAGTGGAGCACTCTGTGAGATATTTAGGGAGCGTTTCAGATTATACATCTATCCTTTACAAGTATATCTTAGGACGCTCCTCCTCTCCCTTTAACCATTTAGTAGATACACCACGCATGGTATTCCAAGCAATATATTAAAGGTTACTTACCATTATTTTAGCATTGGCTTGCGTAGGTGTATCTAATTTAGTATTTATTTCACTTGGCACCTTTCACATTTATTTGTATGAGTATGTTTTTTCACTGTTATATGACTTAGCTCTGTCCATCAGTGTCACTCCAAATACCCTGGTTCCGAACGGAATACTGTTTCTGGTTGTATATCGGGTTAGGCCCTTATAATTTGGAGGACATATAAGGACCTTACCCTATATTATTTTTCAAATGCCACAAGTAGACTGGTACATTCAGTTTCAAATTGCAATTCTTCCGAATTATCAGTGCTTAATGGTATATATTTACAAAATGTCCTACACTCACAGACTTTTCAAAATATAATCTTATTTTAAAATCTTATATTCCATAATAATTGCATAAAATACAATGCCAATGTTTAAATTCACATGCAGAACTTTCTTCAGGATAATAGAAACCATAGAAAAGATATGGATAATTAATTAACCCAACCTTCTTTAGGTGATTGCCAGCGTATAACAAAGCAATGCCTCTTAAGTGCAATAACTAAAAATCAAAGTGGAAAAAAATACTACCCATGTGAAACTATACTCTAACACTGTACACTGATACATGGATAGTTGTTTAGGTGTCAGTCGTTTCTTCTTTTGGTACACTATTCCAGTGGCAGATGGACTTTCTAGTGGTTTGTTTATCTTTTTGTCATAATGAAGACGTCATGATGTATTAACATTTTTCATGGTCAACTCTTTCTCATTCTGGGTTATCTATATGTGTTTGGCATTTTGCATGGATCAGGTGTTTTGATAAACGTCTTGGCAGGAGACTGAAACATTGTCTATACCTGTTACTCATTTGATATATTAAACAGCAGACAAACTGCATATACACAAATCCCTTGTGTACACCTTTCCTTGGATTGTGTACACTGGTACTAGGTGCAGCACCAATTTAATACCAACAGGAGAAGTGGTAAATTTATTTATTTTTGGGTATTTTTATTTTTGTGGTGACACAGATTCACTGACTTTCCTACCAGATAATGTACGCATTCCTCTTTTTTAATATACCGCTATGTGGACCTTATTGGTATATTGACACTTTTCCCTCTACCAAAATGGTTTTAATAAGACTATTAGTGGCGCTTTGGAGATCTGAGAACTGGATGATATAGTATTTATTTGCAAATAATAAAAATGGTGGATTGAATGGTGCATCATCAGTAACTGCCAAAAAACACACAAAATAAAATAGAATTTCAGAATATGGAAAGATTTCATTGAAAGAATCTGGAAAGATAGAGATGGTGGACCATGAGTTATGCACATGCAAGAGAAAGTCCAATTGAAAAGAATGAAATGCAGTAAGCCTTTTATTCTCTGCATATCTTGTAATTTTATATATGTGTTGTTTGTCACTTCTGCACTTTATTGAGACCCTGAGTATCCATCCAGGACCATAGTACTTGAGGACATTGTTGGGACTTCTTTGTCTTCCATGTTCCAATAGAGATGGACAGTTGTCTATTGTTAGGGGCAGATGTGATATCCACATAAGTGCTTTCTACACAATTTAATGTATATTATAATGGTGGCATTTTGTTTGTGAGTGCTCTATTTAATCACATCTTGTACGATATGAAGTAGTCAATCTACACTATATTTGCTTTTATGTTCTACTTTTTTCACATACATGTATCTAGAGAATCATGAAAAAGTTGAATAAATATTGATTTGTTATATTTATATTGGTGATTGTTCACTTAATATAATCTATGCTCTTCACTATTTATTGTTTTTTTATATAGTATATATTTTTGGGATATACTTGCATTTTTACATACTTTATATATAAATCTGTAGTGAAACATAATAATTAACTATTAACTCATCCCCGCGAAGAAACAAACCTGGAAAAAAAGTGATTTACAATCAAAATGTGATCTTTAAAAAAACATCGAACAAATACAAAAGTCAAAAAGAAAATGCACATTTTAGTCTATTTTTTTTTTCTGAAGACATAAATGCATGATGGTAATATTTTGATACCAGACCATCTAATGCAAAGTCCAAATGACAAATAACTAAGAAGTAATGTAAAAAATAAGTGTGCAATAAATACAAAATAAAGAAATGTAAAAGCAATTTTCTGTCTTGTACTTTATTTTTCATTGCTCTTACTTTATCTTTTTTTTTTTTAAGTAAATATTCAAGTATCTATGAGCCTTTCAGATGTAAATTATGAGATGCACCTACCTCCATTTGGCATAGACTACATAGAACTTTGTACTTAGAAAAAAATAGATGCTTGCATGAATATATAGGCTGACAAAAACTCAGTAGCTGAGTGTCTGGGCATTGTCTATTCAGTGTACGTATATTTTAAGTTTGGATCTGGGTATAAAGTTGTGTTTTCTATTTTCTTATTCTTTATGTATTATACTACATTTAATATTGTGATGTCCATATCTTTCGATTCACATAGTTTCATAGATGTTCAATCATTTGGATAGATGACTATTGTGCTCTGCATATGTTGCCAGAAGATTGAGTGTTTTATTAAAATGAAATAGTTCAATTTTTTTGTTATCTAATAGGTACCCTCTCATAATTTAAAGCACCGTATATTTCTATTTATTTTTTACATTAATATTATTTCACCCAACATCATTCTTTCCCACATTATGTTACATTTGGTTTCACATGACAAATATATAATGTCTTTAGTAAAGAAACACAAAGATAGGCCATTTAGAATAAAGTTGCCTGTAAAGTCATAGTTATGAATAATAACTGAAGGGGAGAACTTGTCAGGGCTGTTGAAAAATAAATGAAAAAAATATGCACTGAGTTGATTTAATGCATTTTTATTTGTTTTGTTCTCTTACTTTTGAATAAATCATATGATAGTAAAGACAGTCCAGAACTATCATTGGCATTAATCACAAACCTATTTCCTAATGCTGCATCAGAAAAGTTTTATTTGATAAATTGATCCAATGACTTTGTGAACTGCTCCACATAATCTAGTACATCAAAGTGAACTGTAAAGACACAGGAGTTGATTCACAAAATCATAGTGGCAGTTTTAAATCCTTTAGAAAAATATTGCTTTTATAGAATGAATCAATCATAAACCCCTTTTTTAAATCTAACTTTATAGTTTTGGCTAGTCACAATGTTTATAAGGTACAAATGTTGTAAGAACATCTGAAGAGTTGGAACATTAAACCTTAATGCTATGTATATTTTGAAATTCTAATAGATGTCACAAAAATCTAGATACCTCAGAATGGTAATGTTACCTATACTGTCTCTAATATATATTTTTCAAAGCAATACAAATTAGTACCTAACAGGACCAACCTGGCTGGTCCATGCAGGGCCCGTGCTATTTGAGCGGCCGGGCCGCCGAACTGAGAGGCAGCAACACACTATGCCTCCCGGCCTGAGCCCGGAAAAAATCCGCAAAATAAGCACCCACAACACCCTGAAAAGGATTAGGCGGATCCACAATTAACAAACAGCACCCAAGCTACCTGGAGATCCCAAATAGAGGCAGATCTCAGGCTGGGAACACTGCAAACAAACAAGCAGGCCTTTGCACCATCGCGCACATGAAAGATGGCGACCCCCGCCGACACGAACGGACAGGCAGACAGGGAGCAATAATACACCGGCCACAACAGCTACCTGGAAGAAATCTCCAAGGAAAAAGGCGGCCCGGCTCCGGGGCGGAAGATGCCGCACGGGGTCCAAGCTGCCCACCTAAACGGGTAAAGGCAACAAATACAGCCCGCCCGACGACTTACCCCAGAAGGAGGAGCACCAAAAGGGACCAACATGGGCGGCTCACGCGGGCCCTGGCAGGGCCAGGTGCCGGACGGATCCACCAGGCCGTGACCTCGACCACGGGAGAGGTGTGTGCCCGGGCATATGGGTCAGGGGTCCCCGGAAAGCCTAGTCCCTGGCGCTGTGAGCCCGGTGGGGCAGGATTGTGCCGCCCCCTCGACGGACCGGTGGTCGTGGGGGGCGGTCACCGGCTCCAAGCATGCGGCCAGCGTCGGGTGAGATGCAGGAACACACTCCTCAAGGGACCCAAGCGGGGCCGGGGAGGTGCAGGGAGTGGACGGCCGGAGGACTTTTGTGGTGGGGCCCAACAGACAGTTTAAGCTCCCGAGTGCCCACGGAACTGTGGGGGACCAGACCGGTGAGCGGAGATCGGCGTGGGGGTGAGGGAAGGAGACCAGGCACCCCAGGGGCAGTGTGGAAGCAGCACCATGAGAGACTCCCTCCAGACAGACATCGAAACTGTGCAGGACGGTACAAATAGATGAGCAACTGACTTAGCAGCAAGGGCATGTTGATATGTTTTTAATTGCTACCATAAGTTTTTCATGTTTCAGTATTGCCTATTTACCTACCTAATTACTGCATTGTATATGTTAGCTAAACATTGTATTGCTACCATATGCGGACCGCAAAATAAGATGCAGAGAATGATCTCTCCTAGCTAATGTTAAAACAGATATGCAATATGATATTTGCTTAATCTTAGTTATATTACTTGTGTTCACGTACTTTAACCTTTTTGCCTTACTAGGCTTTGACTGTTCTTATTCGATATAAAACGCACTCTGTGGCATATGCCTATGTCGAAAGCTTATTTTAGTTATGTTACTTGTGGCCACGTACTTTAACCTTTCTGCCTTACTAGGCTTTGACTGTTCTTATTCGATATAAAATGCACTCTGTGGCATATGCTTATGTCGAAAGCTTATTATGAAACATTTGTCTCCCCTGCGTGGGACGACTGCTTTTTCTATGCACCAATAAACTTATTCAAAACAAAAATCTCCCTCACCGGCCCACTTGCACAGACATGCGGCTGCCGGCTGGGGAGGGAAGGAGAGAGGAACCGGCAGAGCTCTATCTTGCAGCTCCGCCGGGTTCCTCTCACGAAATCCGGAGTGTTGGCATGGAAACGCCCCAGATCTTGCAAGAGTGAACTCTAGTATCACATTCTTATTTAGGCATTAATCTGCCTCCCCCCAACACAAATCAGTTGTAACATATACACACACACATCACCCTCACACACATCACCCTCACACGTGGCTTTCTCACACACAGCACATCACCCTCACACACAGCACTCTCACACACGGCACCCTCACTCTCACACACTTTGCCCTCACACACACATTACCCTCACACACACTTCACCCCTCACACACACACAAATCACCCACACACACACACGTCACCCTCACACACACACACATCACCCTCAAACACTTCACCCCACACACACACACACACACACACACACAGCACCCTCACACACACACACACACTTCACCCCTCACATTTACAGCAGCCCTCACACATACTGCACCCCTCTCATACACACTTCACCCCCACACATACACACCGAACCCCCAACACACTGCACAACTCACACACACATTTACACTGCACCACTCACACACACACACACTACTTCCAAATAAATATATATATATATAAAATAACAAAAATTATAGCTGCACTCACGGTTGAGAGATAAAATCTTCAATGCTTTATTTGGTCATTTAAAATAAGGATCAACGTTTCAGTCCATCTTGTGGACTTTCCTCGGGATCAAAACATGAATACTGATACAAAAACTCTTGAATATATACATACATAATTAACAACAAAAGTGAATAAGGTGAGATGATCTAACTTACCCCAGGTGAGGTGTGTTGCCGACGGCATTCAGCTGAATGCCGGGGGCATGTGTAAAGTGACTCCACCCCTCATGTGATGTCATCACGAACAATCGTGATGGCGGTCAGCACGTTCCTATGACAACGTGTATAAACAAATGATACGTGCTCATATAGTCTAGCAATAGGGATATTACAAACCCTTTGAATATAAAGTGCATAAGAGTGATGGTACTAAGTAGATGGGAGATATGAACGGATGAACCAACAGTGAATTACTTACATAGTGAACCTATTAGAGGCACCAAATAATGGTGCATTACATTGAATGCCTAAAATGTGAGTTGCCACTGTATTTAAAGTGGCTCTTACAATACTTAAAGTGACAATGCATATGAAATAATGTGCATGAAGTGCTGGTGGTGCTGAAAAAGTGCAAAAAAGTGCCGAACAAACTAACTAGTGATGTAAAGGTGACTAGCATCAGAAAATGTTATTTCATATATTACTAAATATTATTCATTATTAAAAACACTGTTGCAAATACCTAATGAACCAAGATTATATAACAGTATAAATACCGACTTAATAATACCAAGTCACATGTTTATGGGGCCAAGAGAAATTGTTAACAATTGAACTTTTTAGTTTTATCTATTAGGTATTCATTTTTTTAGAAGACTAGATATTGGAATATTAATTTCCATCTCATTATGACGTATTCCTAATTATATCAAAAGCCATTATCAAAACAGTTATAGCTATTCAATTGCTGCAGTTTAACTATAATTCTTAAAATGGTACTCTCCAATGTGACAAGGCGAAAACATTTTTTATACTATTAAAAAATATATTGCAAAAATCAAAAAGTATTGTAAAAATCTAAAACATATTAAAAATGTATTAATTCAACCACAGACAAGAAAATGAGAAAGTGTTAAAGCTTATAAAAATGAATAAAAGGGAATTGTTTCATTAAGTCCCTTAGGATATAGAGTGCCCAGTTCATAGATCCAGTATGCTTCCCGGTTCAATAGCAACTTGCCTCGATCGCCTCCTCTCAATGGCATTGGTTCAATACCAGTAAATTTCAATGTAGACGGATGGTTTTACTGTAAAAAATGTTTTGCCACTGGCTTATCCAATTTTCCATCTCTATATAGGCTAATCTTATACTTGATCTGTGTCCCCTTATCCGTTCGCACAAGGCAGTTTCGCTTTTTCCAATATATGAGAGACTACATGGACAAGTAAGCTTGTAGATGACGTGTAGTCTTACAGGTAATTGTATGATTAATCTCATATTTTTTATTTGTATGGGGATGAGTAAAGATGCGAGTAGGTAACATATGGCTGCATGTGACTCTTGGCTTGCAAATAGCTCTTACTGGGATCGGTATGAACAAGGAGATCTTTCAGGTTCCTTTTGGTAGGGTGTCATCACTTGTGACCATTTTCCAATTCCTTCGTATTATGTTGGAAATGTGTGGACTCTTTTGGTGAAATTCCATAGGGAAAACAAGTATTGGAGGGCAAGTACCTTTACTATGAAGGCAGGCACTCTGTGCCCTTTTAATTGCTTTCTAAAAAGGGGGCACAAAGGGAAAGCAATTACCTCAGGGTAAACCACCTCTACACACTATTTTCTAACAAACCTGTGTCTTATCTACACTCATGTCGCTTTAACACCTGTATCACAACTCAACTTTGAATTCTATGTGTCGTCTTGCTCAGAAATGCATCAGACCTGAGATAGGGAGATTCTCCCAAAAGCTTGTCATTAAAAAATTCTGTTAGTCCAATAAAAAAGGTATTACAAGATACAAATTTTAACTGTTTTTTAATGTCTACTTGAACACTATATATATATAGTGTTATAGTGTTCAAGTAGACATTAAAAAACAGTTAAAATTTGTATCTTGTAATACTTTTTATTGGACTAACAGAATTTTTTAATGACAGGCTTTTGGGAGAACCTCCCTATCTCAGGTCTGAAATTTTTCTGAGCAAGACAACATATATATATATATATATATATATATATATATATATATACACACACACATACATACTACAGCACCCCTCACACACACACTTCACCCCTCACACACATTCTGTACCCCTAAACACATTACATTCCAGCCACACACTGGATCCCTTACCCAACTCTGGATCATCTACACACACTAGATCCCTATATGCACTCTGAATCCGCTATATACAAACACTCACTAGATCTCCAATACACATTCTGGGTCCTTCTAACACACACTAGACCCCTACACACACACACACATACACTGCACCACCTACACACACACACTACATTCCTGACATACACACTCTGGATCCCCTTTACACACACACACACTAGATTCCTTGTAAGCAAACACATACTGCATTCCCTAAATACTCACTCTCTATAACCCCTACAAACACTACATCACCTACACACACACACAGACACACACTATAGCCCATATGAACATAATTGCCAAGTCTCCTATGCACACACTCTCTACAGCCCCTAACCATACATGCATTACATTACACCACAAACACAACACAACTAAAACTGACCTTATTACACAATACCACACTACAATCAGTTCACTGTACACACATGCAATCTCACAAGCAGGCTCCAAACACATGCACAATACTCTTTCCTGGCCCTTTTGTCTCTTGGTTTCCCGTTTATAGAGGCAACAGTGACAAGTTGCAAGGAAACACAGCGTTATTAAATTTGCTTGCACTGTGCAAAACAAATACAGGGCCTTTTTCTCATGCTAGAGCTCTTCAGCAGAGCTTTGCACATGGTCTGCCCTGGAAGAGCATTGAACCAACATGCTCACTTTGAGAGGGGATGTGCTTGTCATTGGTGATGACAAAACACACCCTCTCTGCCCAGTCACCCTTCTTAGTGGGCCACTGTGATAAACAAAAATGCTTTGGCCTAATTTTTTTCCCAGTCCAGGCCTGTTAGTAGCATTAGGAAGTCTGGACATCAGTTTGACTTTTTGAGGGATGATGAAAAATGTTAGACGAAAGAAGACTTATGATGGTAAGTATACTTTTTTTTACAGCTATTCATTTTATTGACCCAATCACTATTGAAGATGGGGTATAGGTAAGCTTAATTAATCTCAATTAGGGCCCCTAGCCAACTGGGTGAGAAGAGGCGGGTGACAGTAATTGAGGGGATGGACAATGGCATGTAGAGTCCCTTACCACAGCCCATGGGTGAGGACTGGGGAAGGACACTATATCCTTCTCCTGTAGTATTCCTGCAGTATGATAATTAAGGCCCCAAACTGCCATTCATTGGTGGAGGCTTGGGGAGGACCATTGGGTTTTCACTAGGACCACTCGCTTTAATAATATATCTAGGCCTTAGCCTACCCACTGCCCATGGATGAGGGAAATCCACCAGGTGACAATGGTGGGGGAGGGTGGGACAT